CTGTCAACGCTCTCTGGTTTCATTTAAAAGAGTCGATCATGAGATATTGTCCAAGATTAACCTTCAGGGTGGATATAGCTCGCTAGCAGCCTCGCACTGATGACCTAGTTGATGTCATCATTTACCCAGAATGCTTTGTGTGTAAATAAAATGACCCCGTCCGTGTAATATGTTTTTAAACTTTTAGTTTAAAAATTATAAAAACTGAACATCCTACAGTATTTTTACAGTCTTTATTTTACAGTTAAAGTATATGTTTATCATATACAGTCTAATATTACAACAAATCGGGGATCCCTTTAACCAAAATTTAATTCAAACAAAAATATTATATTGGGTCATTCTCAAACAGCAGTTTTTGTCAACACACACATTTTACATATCATATTTCTTCAACAATCTAGCCTTTATCATTATTTTAAACACGCGTTTTTCCACCAGTTTTAACATCAGTCTCATTATGTTTTATAGTCGTATTCCTTGAATTCTTTCCTTCAAACTGCTTAGAAATTGCGGTTTTACAAAAATCTCAATTCCTTTACTGTTATAACAAGTCTTTCTCTTAACAAATTTTGATTGAATGTTAAAATGTAATATATTTTTATGTACCTTATACATAACCTATCAATTGATAAAATAATGTATTTGTTGGGTGACCATAATGCTTTCTTGTAATGATTCTAACAGCTCTTTTGTGTAAAATAAAAAAGGATTTGTAATTGTTACACATTCTTCTCCCAAACTTCAATACAATAAATTAAATGTCGAGTGTTACTGACTGACTGACTCTGATCTTCACCAAGCTCTTGAGCTGAGTTAAGTATCACTGAACTTCTCCTCTTTGCAAAGTGAATCTATAAATCTTACTGGTCTCTGGTGTCATTGAATAATGTTCGGCCGGGCTTGTTGTGGTTTCTCTGAGTTCCTAGGTTAAAAAACCGAACATTATTGGGATTATGTAGGAGTTACTGACTGATAACACAGAGTGTTATCAGTCAGTAACTCCTACTTTATACAGCAAAGCAACTGATTTAGCTATTTTTATGAGATTTTCATGTCTGCTTTACATCAATGAAGATACATAATACTTCACCTCACTAGCTCTATAAATCTCGACACCATCCACTCTGAATAGGACGTCAATAGTTTTTTGTTACCAAACATAACAGTTTGTTTTATCCAAATACAAAAAATTATTAAGTTTAAACCAATTTTTGTGTTTCAGTAAATTCTGTTTGCATCACCTCCATGATCTGTTCAATATTTTCATCAGAATAAAAAAACGTGTTGTGTCATCAACAAACAAAATACATTTTAAAAGCTTTGGCACACTGACTAAATCATTCACATACAAAATAAACAATTTTGGTCTAAACACAGAACCCTGAGGAACTCCACAACTAATAATGCTAATGCAATTCAGATCTTACATTATTATAACAAATGTGAACTGTGCCACTGCAGGTCTTCAGAAGATGTTTTTACTTTGTAGACAGGTTTTTACACAAACTGACATTTTGTTATAAATGTGTTATTGTTCCTTTTTTTCTTTGCTTGTTTTCACACATTTATCTTTTCTCTTGTCATTTCCTGTAAATTCTTACATTTTGACATGCACCACCAGAAGCTGACAGGCAGGCAGTAATCTTTTTACCTGAGTCTGTGTATGCTTGTCTGTTGGCAAATTATTTCATGAACACTTTGCATGGATTTTAATGAAACTTACAGAAAGTAATTTCTGGATGTCAAGGCCATATTTACTTGGAGATGGACACAATTCTCATCTTTTTGGCTGTAAACACCACAATGGATTTGAAATGAAAAAACAGGACTAAATATTTTTTAGTTGCAAACTTTCAGTTTTAATT